GTCAGCAGGAATTTTCCCAATAACACCTGTACTGCTGCTACTAACCCAGGTGTGAGTAGATTATGACTACCTATGCTGAGAGGCCAACGCTGGACTCAGAAGTAAAGAGGGGGTTAGGATCTTACATAGCCGAGGGAAGGGTTGGAATAGGGAAGTACTGAGGAACAATGGTAGGTGCAGTTGCGCTAGAGATCAGCTATCATAGAGAGGTGGGATGCAACTTATCTTCCCACCCTCAAGACTGTTTAATCACACACCCCTTGGGATCATGCCATGGCCCTCATTTTAGAAACCAATGGTGTAGGGGATTGGTGCCTAAAGAGGAGAAGGGTGTCATCAAACATTGGGGTCTTTCAGAAGAGAAGACACTATTCATTTGTTCAGCAACTATCAAGACAAAGGGCTGGACCAGATCAAATAAAAGGTTCTTTTAGCCCCAATATTCTCTGAAAGTCTTTCAGTGTTCAGCAAGCTATGCTCTTAAGTAACTCTTGATTTATAATAAATAACAAGTACAGAAGTAGCTAAGGCAGGTAGAAGGCAGATTATACCTAAAGTTTTCTCTTATCCTTTTGTCCACTCCCAACTCTCTAACCTTTTAAAGGTACCTTCCAACTCTCTCCTCCAATCAGAATTCTTATGAATGCTTAAGAATGCTCTCTTATCCTGTGTTCCCACAACGCTGCAAGTAACTGTTAACAAAGTAAAGTGTTTACTACATCTTGGGTGTCTTTTCCTTTTTTTTTTTTTAACAGGATTCAAATTAAGATAAAACTAAAGAGATTTTAATATCAGAACTTTAGGTCTCAGTCAAACCGCTGAAATTACAAATAATATTACTAATAATGAGAGTTTGTCAGGGCAACCTGATCAACTTCATAGAAATTACAGGAAAGTGAACTTTGTGGGGGACATGGATTACATCTCCCTTTGGAAAGTATACACATGCTCCTTGATTGAGAAGCTCCTCATTAAGAAGCTTGAGGATATCTCTTGATTTCTTTCTAGTCCCAGATAAAATCCTGTCTTCCAGAGGTAGCCTTTGACAACCCCACTTCATTTTAGTGCCTTCCTTCTGGTGATTCTTTCCTATTTATCCTGTATAGAGATTTTTTGTACATAGTTCTTGGCATACTTTCTCTTCCATTAGATTGTAAGCTCCCTGAGGGCAGGGGGACTATCTTTTCCCTCTTTTTGTATCTCTAGTGCTTAGCACAGTGCCTGGCACATAGTAGGCCTTAAATAAATGTTTACTGACTACCTGACTAGATACCCATTCATGCTTCACTGATGATGAAGACGTAATGTCACGGAGGACCAAAAACCTAGACTCTACTCTTCGCTACTACTCTGAAGTATTTGGAAGGTGCAGGTCCAATGGGAAAGACGGTTATCTCTCTGGCAACTCTAAATTCATTTTCCATCAAAGAGGAGTCTTAGGGTCATACTACTAAGTCCCTAGGTTAAACATAAGACTTCCTAGACTGACAAGAGATTGCCCCTTTAGAGACTTAAGTTTGTTTTCCTTCCAGAAAAGGGAAGAGAATGGTATTAGCTATTTGTGACTGACCATGAGTCCTTTGTGATGTTGTGCATTTTCTGTGGGATGAAATGAAGGCTGCAATTTACCTGATGTTCATTGTTACCTTCAGTGCTTACATGGGAACTGGGGACCTTTTTACACCTATCTACAAAGACCTAGAGAAGAGTAATATTCTGAGCAAACACTGAGTGATAGAAAAACAAACCACAGAAAAATAATTTGGCAACAGCCAGTCCTAGGAATGAACCCAGTCCATGTAAGCCCAAAACTTTGGGTGGTGGACCACGGGTTACAGTAATGATACCACATTGTAGGAAGCCAGCAAAGTCAGACGAAAGAGATGAAGAGGGAGAACATTCCAGGTACAGGGGAAAGTCAGTGAAAATGCCTGGGGTCAGGAAATGGGAGTGACTTTTTTGAGGAATAGAAAGGAGGCTGTGTAGGGGAGTAAGGTATAAGAAGACTAGAAAGGTAGGAGGCGGACAGGTTAGAAAGGGCTTTAAACATAGAAGATTTTTATATTTGATCCTGGAAGTAACAGGGAACCACTGGTGTTTACTGAGTAAGGGTTGAACCTGCACTTTAGGAAAATCACTTTGGTGGCTAAAGGGAGAATAGATTAGAGTGAGGAGAGACTTGAGGCTGGTGAAACACACCAGCAGACTATTGTCCAGGCATGAGGTGACGAGAGCACCAGTGTGGTGGCAACGTGAGAGGAAAGATGAAGACATATAGGAAAGATGGTTAAGAAGGCAGAAATCACAAGTCTTGATTAGATATGGGGTAGGGGGAGAAAGACTGAGTAGTCAAGGATGACACCAAAATTGCAATCCTGTGTGACCAGGATAGTTGTACTCTCCATAGAAATAGGACAATTAGAAAGAAGAGATAGCTTGGCAGTAAAGATAATAAGTTCTGTTTTGGACCTTGTTGCAGTTTCCTGGTGTGTTGTGGGTGGATCATCTCAAAGAATTCAGAGTCAGACCACCTCTAATCCAAGTATAGGCATTTATTGAGGATTGACACCCCTCAAAGTGGGCTAGGTTCTAAGAGGAACCAGCAACTTAGTAAGACAAGACAGGCAATTTTATAGTGTAATGATGCTGATTATACAACAGAAATTATGAATATTAAAAATGCAGGAGGGGTTTGTTAAGGGATTAGGTAATGGGGAGGGGTCCCTTCTATGGTTCAGTGGTCAAACATCCTGGTCATACTGCTTTCTGATTGGCTAGCCATTGTGATCCTGTCTGGTCAAGATGGATAGTTAGGTATTGTGGTCCTGTCTTGGACTAGATGGATGATGTGATTGTGGTTGAGTACAACGACACACCTGTTCAAATATGTGAATTGGATCTGGGGGCAGGGGCTAGCTAGGGGCAGTGACTGTATTGAGTCTGGGGGCAGCTTTATTAGGATTTCATCAGACCTGATGAGTTTAAGATGTCTACAAGACATTCAGTATGAGATGTCTGGTAGGCAGCTGGAGATGCAAGAGTGGAGGTTAGGAGAAAGTCAGGGCTTGATAAGTAGATCAGAGAATCATCTGCATAGAAATGATAATTGAATCCACGGACACTGGTGAAATCACCAAATGAAATAGCACAGAAGGAGACGAGAAGAAGGCCTAACACAGAACCTTGGGGGACATTAACTATTAGTGGATGTGACCTGGATTTAGATCCAGCAAAGAAAGCTGAGAAGCAATGGTTGGACAGAAGAACCAGGAGAGAGTAATGGCTAGAAAACCTAGAGAGAAGAGAGTGTCAAGGAAAAGGGGAGGTTTGACAGTGTCAAAGTCTCCAGACAGCTTAAGAAGGATGAGGATTAAGAAGAGGCCATTAGATTTGACATTTAAAAGAGCACTGGTAACTTTGAGGGGGGCACAGCTTCAGTTGAATGATGAGATTAGAATCCAAGTTACAAAGAATTAAGAAGAAAGCAAGAGGGAAGGAAGTAGAGGCACTGGCTACATATGACCTTCTCAAGAAGTTTAGCCATTAAAAGGAGAGATATTGGATAACAGTTAGCTGGGATGAGTGGATCAAGTGAGAATTTTTTGAGGATGGGGCAGAGGTGGGCATGTTTTTACACCATTGGAAAGAAGTCAATAGACAGGGAGAAACTGAAGGTTAATAAGAGGAGGGATGATAGAGTAGACAATATTTAGAAGATGATGGCATGGAATGGGATCACTTGTGCATGTAGAGGGGTTCACACTGGTCAACCTGGTAAGATAAGCCTTGTTGCCACTATACAGACGAGGAAACTGAGGCTCAGATACATAAAGTACTTTGCCTATCACTGCAAAGTAAAGTAAATTACAGTGGCAGTATGTATAGCAGTTTATGACTGGTGAGTGGACATGAGGGAAAAGTGGGCCCTGAATGCAGTTCTAGTCCTAGCGTAGGTCACTATGCTGCCTTGGTCAGGTCTTGTTTTACTAATTCATACAGAGATGAATCAAGGAGATCCAGACAAGCATTTGTTGACTGCAAGACCCTGGAAACAGAAAAGATGAATTGTACTCCAGCACATCTTGATTTATCAAGTGACCAGGGATCCTTCACTCGTCCTACATGAGATTTACCAAACATAATGCTTCCACTTGTCCAGGCAAGTAAGCACAGATGACTGGCACTGAGTCAACAGCAATAAAAGCCAACATTTGTTTAGCTTTGTTCCTGTTCTGTCAGTGGCTGTTAGATCCTTAAAGGAAGTGAAGTCCCGAAAGAATCCCAACAGGACTCAAAAAACTACATGTTTTCCACATGTAACTATCATGCTGATGTCTCAGAGCAGTCAATCAAAAAGCAAAGGTCTAAGAAATTCTTCATTCTAGATTTAGCAGAAGCCCTGCTAGAATATGGTAGTAATGAAGGGTTCAGACCCAATTCTAGACACACAGTGAATGAGACAGTATTTAGTATGCCTTCTGATATGCTCCAGGGATGGCAAAAGAAATTATTTTTTGCTGCCCATGGGTTCTTCAAAGCCCTATGATTGATTAAGCATAGAAACAAGGAACATATATACACAATATGTCCCACTGGTGATATATACACATACATAGACATATACATACATACATACATATATATTTATATACGTATATGTATATGTGTGTGTGTATAAAACTAATGAGACACTCAAGCCTTGCAGAATGCCTACAGCTTGTACAAAATTATTTTTCACTTCACTCATTACCACAGAAGTTCACCATGTTCTGGATGATATCCAGAATTAACAAATTAGATACTAAACACTTAGACTTTTTTGCTATACAAATGACAAACATTAAGTTGTTATAAGAAAGGTTTAAAAATCTAGAGCCAGGTTAGAAGTAAATACCATATTGCAACTGCCTTAGAGAAAGGAAATCACAAACATTCAAATTTAATTGAATCAGTGTCACTGACACAATGACCGTGTGGATATAATATAGAGAATGCCTTACTTGCTCGGATGGAAATCCAAAGTTAGGGTCATCAAGAGCATCACGTATCTGGCTGTCTGGCAAAAAATCTAGTTCCAGAGCTAAGGATTCTCCCCAGTCAGTGTGATCTTCAGAATTACATCCGCTCTCAGACAAACCTATCTTTTCTGAAGGAACTTTTCCACTGTTGAGGTCGGACTCAGTTTCTTCGGCAGGATCAGCTGTCATCTTTTCCCCTATGAACAAACAAGCAGTGCTAACTGATAGATTGCTTTCTTTAGGGAGACCAAGATTTTGCTCGCTTCTCCCACCGATGATACCTAACCCCAGTTCATTTTCATCTACCAAATCCATCAGCCATGGAGATGTGACTCTTGTCTTTGGAAGGTGACTTACTTCCTTTTGGTCAGTGCTGGTAGTTACCTGTTTCTGTTCCATACCTGGATACAGATTCTCTTTTTCCAGGGCTAGAACTATGGTATCTTTGCGTTCAGTTTTGGGTATAAGATCCTCAGTTGCTGATACAATAGAAGCCAAATGGTCAGAGACCGCCCTGATGCCTTCAGATGGCTCACCTTCATGTCTTGCCTCTTTATCTTTCCTACCCTTTTCAGTATCAGGGGTTCCTTCCAGAAGGACCTCGACAGAGGAGTTTCTATTGGAAAATGAAGGCACTCCAGTGCTTCCATTGATAGACTGGCTAATCTTAGAAACCTGTACTCTCCCTTTGGATTCAGAAATATCTGTGATTACTTTCAAGTCAGTATCTGCGGGACATGAGTAGCTAAGACTTTCCTGCCTCAACATTCTGGACCCTTGGCTGTCATGGCTGAGTTTTGCTTTTTGGTTCATCTTGTTGGATTGTGGCATATTATCAGTGTACCCCTGTTCTGAAGCATTGTCCCAAGGGTTCTCTTTGCCAATACTTTGTTCTCTAGCAGTTGTTAAGCTAGAATCTGATGGACTCATGGGTGAGCTACTTTCTTCCCTCTTTCCTTGTCCCTCAGGAAAGGCATTACTACATAAACTTCCTATAAGCCCATATGTGGTTGAAGTTCCTACTTTCTCTTCAGCAATGTCACCTTCGTGGGTGGCTCTTATGTCTGGCAGAGGTCTGTTCTGTTGTGGTATTAAAGTATTACTGCATAACTGAGCTGCTTCTTTTTGGCTATGGCTGCCTACAGCCAAATTCTCATACACTGGTGTACTGTTCATTTCCATTTCAACAAGGGAGCCAGATTCCAAATTCTTGCTTTCTGGATTTTTGCCATTCAAAGTATTTGTCATTCCCCCTGAAAGATGCTCTTTGTTAGTTCTTTCTTGCATAGGGCTTATACTTCCCATCTCTTGAGGAGTATTGTTGAATGTACCAGCAGCACTATAATAGCTTCCATCTGTGGGCTTCAAGAGGCTTTGGCTGTCCTGCTCCTGAAAAAGTAGAACTTTCCCACCACCAACACTGTCCATTTCAGTAATCAAAAATCCCTTTTGCTTCTGATCTTCCAACTCCCTGTCTTTCCAGATAGTTGCCACCAATGGCTCATCAAACTGAATATTTTCTGCCTTCTGATGATTAGACTCTGGAAACATTATCTATGGAGAAAAAATTAGAAATTTTAGAGTCTTAAGTAGTTACTTGGCCTATTTTCTTTTTTAAAATATATTTTAAATTTATTTTGTTAAACACTTCCCAATAACAATTTAAAACATTTTAACATTCATTTAAAAATTTTTTTGAGTTTCAAATTCTCTTCCTCTTCCCCTACCCCTTGAGGAGGCAAGCAATATGATATTGATTATTTATGTGAAGTCATTGAAATATCCTTATCTAGAGGTATTCTACAGCTGAAATCAGGGGTGGGATTAGGAATGGGACAGATATAAGCAGAAGCTAACCAGAATGACCAAATATGTCAATCAACAATAATTTATTGAGTACCTACTATGTGCAAGACACTATGCTGGTATAGATAATATGACATAGTCCTGCCCTTAAAGAGCTTACAATCCAGCTGGGGGGGGGGGGTGGCGTATAAGAATCATACATATAAATAGTTGGTTAATTTTTTTAAAAAAAGATACCATATGATAAGTGAAAGGCAGTGTGGTTTGGCGGATAGAGGGCTGATTTTCACATCAATAATACCTAAATTAAGTCTTGCCTCTGTCAAATACTATTTTAGAGCTCATAGCCAAGCAAATGGACGCAGCATACCAGGAAACTCTTTATGTCATTAAGTTACAGAGGAGTTACCAATCTGCATTAGTAAAGGGAATTTCTACACAGGAGTTCCCTGTACAGAGGAAATCAATGTGGGAACCAAAGATAATGTTAAGCATCAAATGAGTGGTGCTAACCATAAAAGCCATCAGAGAACCAAGATGGCAGAGTATAGGCCAGGACCTGGCTGAACTCTCCCAATATACCCCCTCCAAACAACTTTACAATAATACCTCAAATCAAATTTTGGAGCAGCAGAGCCAACAAAAGGTCAAAGGGAGACATTTTTTCAGTCTAAGACAACTTAGAAGGTTTGAAGGAGAGGTCTATAAAATCAGGGTGGGTATAGGCTGGGGCACAGCAAGAACACCAGTGGTGAGTCTTGGAGGTAGCCACAATGGCGGCAGCAGCTTCTAGAGCCCTCAGCCCAGAGACAGTAAATGGTTCAGGCAAGTGATCAAAAAGAGATTACAGGGGATCTTTTGCTGGCACTGGGTGCAGCTGGCATTGATTTTTGGCATTGATTTAGTGTGATTTCCCACTCTATTACCCATACACAGTTCTGGATCACAGTTCCAGGGCAAAGAGGACCACTAGTGCTTGTGTCTGCAGTGGGGACAAGGGCCCTTCCTAGGTAAAAACCAGAGTACAAACCAGAAGGGCAGTGACCACACCTCTCCCAGGATAGCACTACCTTGGAGGCACTGAAAGCTTGCACACTCCCAGAACTAACTCTGAAAACAGCAGCACAAAAAAGTCTGAAGCTTGGCACAGTGCCTCCCTACCCCCAGGTGAGCAAAGCCCAACTTTAACATAAAGTTCACAGTAAAGAAACAGGCTGGGAAAATGAAAAGAAATGAGAGGGATGGCAGAAAATTATGAAAAGAGAATTAACAGCTTGGTAAAAGAGAAATACTGAAAATGAAGAAAATATTACCTTAAAAAGAGAATTGGCCTAATGGTAAAAGAGGCACAAAAATTCACTGAAGGAAAGAACTCCTTAAAAATTAGAACCAGACAAGTGGAAGCTAATGACTCCACGAGACTTCAAAAAACAATAAAACAAAGTCAAAAGAATGAAAAAAAATAGAAGAAAATGTGAAATATCTCATTGGAAAAACAATTGACCTAGAAAACAGATTGAAGAGAGATAATTTAAGAATTATTGTACTTACTGAAAGCCATGTTTGAAAAAAGAGCCTAGATATCATATATCAAGAAATTATCAAGGAAAACTGCCCTGATATCTTAGATCTTAGATACCTTAGAAGGTAATAATAGAAATGGAAAGAATCTACCAATTACCTCCTGAAAAAGATCCCAAAATGAAAACTCCTAGGAATATTAAAGCCAAATTTCTGAGCTCCTAGGTCAAGGAGAAAATATCACAAGCAAGAATATGCAAGCAAGAAACAATTCAGATATTATGGAGACACAGTCAGGATCACGTAAGATTTAGCAACTTCTACATTAAGGGAGCAGAGGGCTTGGAATATGATTCCAGAGGGCAAAGGAGCTAGGTAGGAATAACCTACCCTGCAAAACTGAGTATAATCCTTCAGGAGGGAAAAAAATGGGTATTTAATGAAATAGAGTATTTCTAAGCATTCCTGATGAAAAGACCAGACTGAATAGGAAATCTGACATTCAAACAGAAGACTCAAGAGAAATATAAAAAGGTACACATGAAAGAGTAATCATAAAATGCTCAATGGAGCTAAACTGTTTACATTCCTTTAGGGGGAAATGACACAAATAACTCCTAAGAATCTTATCATTATTTGAGCAGTTAGAAGGAGCCTGCATAGACAGAGGGAAGGAGTGTGAACTGATTATATTGGGATAAACTCCAAAAAAAGAATGTAGGGGTGAGAAAGGGAAAAGGAGAGGTAGAATCAGGCAAATTTTCTCACATAAAGGAGGTGCACAAGGAAAAGCTTTTATAATGTAGGGGGAAATGGTGGGGTGGGGTGGGCAGGCAATGATTGAACCTCACTCTCACTGGAATTGATTCAAGGAGGGAAGAGAATAGATGTACACACATACACCCACTCAATTGGGTATAGAAATCTATCTTATCCAATAGGGAGATATGAGGGGAAGGAGATAAGAGAAATGGAGTGGGGGGAGATTTTAAGGGAGAGGATAGATTGGGGGAGGCAATGGTCAGAAGCAAGACAGACTTTGGAGAAGGGACAGGATAAGAAGAAAAAGAAAAGGATAAACAGAGGAAAATGGGATGGAGGGGAATGCATAGTGAGTGATCACAACTATGAATGTGAATAGGATAAGCTAACCCAAAGAACAGAAGGGATAGCAGAATGGATTGGAAACTAGAATTCAACAACATGTTGTGTACAAGAGACACACTTGGGACAGAAAGTCACACAGAGTTAAAATGAAGGGCTGGAGCAGAGTCTGTCATGCTTCAGCTGAAGTGAAGAGAGCAAGAGTGGCAATCATGATCTCAGACAAAGCAAAAGCAAAAACAGATGTAATTGAAAGAGACAGGAAACTTATTGTTCAGTCATTCAGTTGTGTCTGATTCGTCGTGACTACATGGACTATATTATCCATGGGGTTTTCTTGGCAAAGATACTAGAGTGGTTTCTTCAGTGGATCCACTTCTCTAGTGGATTAAGGCGAACAGAGGTTAAGCAACTTGCCCAGGGTCATACAGCTAGTGTCTGAGGCCATATTTGAACTCGGGTCTTCCTGACTCCAGGCCCAGTGCTCTATGCACTGAGCCACCTAGCTTCCTCCAAATCAGGGAAACTATATTTTGCTAAATATGAAGTAACATCAAATGAATGTAATGAAGTAATGAAGTAGTAGACAATGAAGTAATATCAAAAAATTTTACAGCAAGTTTCTCTGATAAAGACTTCATTTCTCAAATATATAAGTAACTGAGTCAAATTTATAAAAAATAGTAGCTATTTCCCAATTGATAAATGATCAAAAGATATGAATAAGCAGTTTTCAGAAAAAGAAATCAAAGCTATCAATAGTCATATGAAAAAATGCTCTAAATCACTACTGATCCAAGAAAGGCAAATTAAAACAACTCTGAGGTACCACCTCACATCTACCAGAAATGACAAATGCTGAAGGGGATGAGGGAAAATAGGTACATTAATGGACTGTTGGCGGAACAGTGAACTAGTCTAACCATTCTGAAGAGCAATCTGGAAATAAGCCCAAATGGCTATAAAACTGTGCATACCCTTTGATCCAACAATACCACTATTAGGGCTATACCCCAAAGAGATCAAAGAAAAAGGAAAAGGACCTATATGTACAAAATATTTATAACAGTTCTTTTTATGGTAGCAAAGAATTAGAAATTGAAGGAATGCTCATCAATTAAGGAATGGCTGAACAAGTTGTCCATGATTGTGATGGAGTACTACTATACTATAAGAAATGATGAGGGGAGTGGCTTCAGAAAAAAACATGGTAAAATCAATATGAACTGATGCAAAATGAAGTGAGTAGAATCAGGAGATCATTGTGCACAGTAACAGCAATGTTGTAATGATGATCAACTGTGAAAGACATGACTACTCTGATCAATATAGTGATCCAAGACAATTCTAAAGGGCTCGTGATAAAAAAAAAATTGATATGCACCTCTAGAAAGAGAACTGATGAACTTAGTGCAAACTAAAGTATAACTTTCTTGCTTTTTTTGGAATATGATTAATATGGAAATATATTTTGCATTATTTTACATGTATAATTGATATATTGTTTGCCTTCTCAGTGGGTAAGGGAGGGGTGGGAGGCAGGGAGAGAATCTGGAACTCAAAATTTTAAAAGAATGTTAAAATAAATAATATTTTTAAAAAATTAAACAAAAATAAAGGTTATGGGAATTCAAATGAGGAAGAGATCACTGCAGGCTGGACTACTAAGGGAAGGTGTCACTGAAGAGGCAGGATACATATAATGTCTCTAAAGATGGCTAAGGTATAAACAGGCAGAGAGAAGGAAAAGAGGACATGTTTTCTACAGCTGTTTAAAGCAGCAGAAGTAAGAATTAAGCCAAGAATATCTGGATGACAACGAGTAGAACCACCTGGCTTAAGCAGAGGGGTCAGAATGTGAAGTTACGTCACAAAATGTACTTACCTGGAATGTGAAGACTGTACCTTGTGGGCATACTACAGAAAGAGCTAGCTGCCCTTTCTTCGTCTTCCACATAGTATTATTACTATCTCCAGGATCTAGATACTCACTTCTCCATCAGCTCTTTATAGCCACCAAAGTCCATAACACATTGATGACCCTGGTGATGCTCTGGGACATAACTGACCAACTACAGGGCAAGCAAAACATTTTAATCCAATATCATCAAAGTCACCAGGAACTACCTTTCTCAATTACTCTGTTCTGACAAAAGAGAGCCTCCCCTCCTTCTTTTTTTGTTGGGGTTACTAAATTCACATATTGAAAGTTGTGATGCAACATTCTATTCAGCTATATTTGCAGCTAGAGACATTAATACCATCTGCAACTATACTTCAAAGCACTAAAGGCAGGAATGGAGAGCATCATGTTCACGTGTGAGACCTTAGGTGTCCCACAAGCCCCAGAAAAACTTGAAAATAAAAGGTTGATTACAGGGATTCAAATTAGGCTGTCGTCATGGGTTTGAATACCTATTAAAAAAGTATATAACTCTAGTTTTGTCTTTTATAATTTCCATAGAGCCATCCTAAACTCCTTTATTAAAAAAGGCTTACATATTATACATTTGAAAATATACTTGCTTTCAGTGCCAAAGACTGACCCATGTAAAAACTCACATGATTCACATAAGGCAAAAAGGTTATTTTGCCAGTAAGTGTTAACCAAATACTAGGATGATTTCAACATAGCATATTTCACAGCTGTACCTGCTTAGTGTTGCTACTCCTAGCAGTTTTTTCCTTTCTCTCAGTTTTTTGTGTCAAAGATTTCTTGGATTGCGCAAACATTGGAACAAACTTCATTTCTGAGTTCTATAAACAATAATAAAAGAGCAAAGTCAAAGTAGAAAATTAAAAAGTCATTTAAAGCTTTCCCTTTTAAACTAAAAGATTAACCATATCAAATGTGTTCCCAGGTAAAAGCTTTCGATGCTACTGAAAAAGATACACAGAAGTAAATTTTTATAGTTGTCTAGAAAAATGTGGCTTTACAATCTACTTCACAGTTAGGCAGTGAGAAGTTATACTTTTGAATTGTTTTTAGCTTTTCATAGATTTTTTTTGTATCACTTTCATCTCTTAATATATCCCTCCACCAATCCCCTATCCAGAGAACTATTCCTTGTAATACAGAATAAAAAAAAAACCAAGAAGAAAAAAAGGCAATTCAACAAAACTAACACGTTAAACACATCACATCCCCCCACATCTGCAAAGAAGGGAGGGAATTGCACAATCTTTTTTCTCCTTGGGGACAAGTTTAGTCATCACAGTTACAGTGTTCAGTTTTGATTTCTTTTTTTTGTTGTTGTTGTTCTTTCTATTTTTATTGTTGTTGTACATGATCATACACACTCTTTTTCTAATTCTACTTATTTTTACTTTGCATTAATTCATAAGTCTGACCCATACTTCTCTGTATTCTTTGTATTTGTTTCTTATGATGCAATAATATTCCATGACATTTACATACCACAATTTTTTTGTCCATTTCCCAGTCAATAGGCATCTATTTTGTGTACAGTTCTTTGATACTACTTAAAAAATGCTTTTATAATTATTTTGGGCAAATAGGACATTTCTTTTCTATCTCTACTAGTAGGATCTCTGGGTCAAAGGATATGGACATTTAAATCATATTTTTAGCATAATTCTAAACTCCTTTCCATAAAGGACATTCCAAATCATAACTCTAGCAGTAGTGCACTGGTATATTTGTTTTTCTAACCCTTTAACAAAGACTACTAGCATCTTTTGTCATTTTTGAAAGTTTTCTGGTTTTGAGGTAAAATCTCAAAATTGTTTTGATTTGCATTTCTCCTAATACTAGAAAACTGCAGTAAACTTTCATATAGTTGTTAGCTTTCAATTCTCTTGAAAACTGCCTGTTCATATTCTTTCACCATTTATCCACTGGGGAATGGTTCTTGGTCTTACATATTTGTGATTGTTCTTTATATATCCTAGATATCACAGCCTTATCTTATTTCTGCATGTTTGATACAAAGGTTTTTTTCCCCAATCAATCACTTCCCTTCCTATCCTTGCTCCTTTCTTATCATTTATTTTGCAAAACTTTTCATATCATACAATCTATATAATCCATTTCATTTTTTGCGATCTCCTTTATCCCTCGTTTGGTTAAGAATCTGGTTAAGTCATAGCCATAAAAGTCATAGCCAACATTCTCTTCTAATTTTTTTTTTATGGTGTGACCTTTAAGGTCACATATTCATTTTGAACTTATTATGGTATATAGTGTAAGCTGTTGGTCTAAACCCAGTTTCTGCCAAACTGACCTCCACTTTTTCTAGTAGTTCTTATCAAAAAGAGAATTCTACCCTAACTAAATTAATTTATGTTCTTGAATTATGTTCTTGAACACAGAGTTACTGAGTTCACTGGTTTCTGATTCTTCCTCATAGCAGTTTCCACTGATCCATTGATTTCTGTTTTTAGCCAATCCCAAATACTTTATTACTTTATATAAAATTTGATGTCTAGAAGTACTACAGATCCTTCATTCCTCCTTTTTAAAATTATTTCCCTTGAGATTCTGAAACTTTTATTCTTCCAAATGAATTCTGTTATTGATTTGACTAGCTCTATAAAGTATCTCTTTGATAGTTAGATTGGCATAGCACTAACTCTGTCAATTAATTTAGGTAGTTTCACCTCATTTGTATTTTACTGGTGCTACCCAACCATTATCAATGACTCTTTAATTCAATAAACATTTAATAAGCACCTACTCTGTGTCAGGCACCATGCTAAGTGCTAGGGACACAAAAAGAGACAAAAGACAGTATCTGCCCTCAAGGAGCTTAAGGTCTAATATCCTTCCAATTATGTGTCATTTTTTTTTCTTCAAAGAGTGTTTTATAATTGTATCTATACAGTTTTTGGTGTGCCTTAGTAGGTTAACTAACATATATTACATGCAATTTGTATTTATTTTGAATGGGACTTCCCTGTTTTTTTCTCATCAATTTTGTTACTGCTGGACAGTAATGCTGTTGATTTTTGTGGGTTTATTTTGTATCCCACTACTTTACTGAAGCTATTGTTTCAACTAGTTTCTTTGCTGATTCTCTAGGATTTTCTAAGCAAATCATTGCGTCATCAGCAAAGAGGAATAGTTTTATCTCATCTTTGCCTATTTATGTCCTTAATTTCTTTCTTTTTTTATTATTATTATCACTAGCATTCCTAACACTACCCAAGAACAAAAGGGAAAGGGGTATCCTCTCTTTATTCCTGTATTTACTGGGAAAGCTTATAATGTCTTTCCACTAAATAGAGTGATAGTTTTGGGTTTTAGATGTATAGTTTTTCATATTAAAATGGTTCTAGCCTATGATTTGTAGGGTTTTTAGCATAAATGAAAGTTTTATGTTGCTAAGGGATTTTTCTGCATTGATCGATATATGCATGTGGGGTTTTTGTTTTTGTTTCTTTGGTGTGAGGGGGAAAGGAGTGTTACCTTTTTAACATGATTAATAATAACTGTTTTCCTAATGTGGAATCATATTTACATCCCTAGAGTTGGATTTATAATCCAACTTGATCTTGGTAAATAAGCAGGTTGAACTTTTGGGGACTAATGAGGTCTTATTAGCTGCAAAGTGCTGGAGGCTTTGAAAATAAGCTCACCTGGGAAAAAGAAAAGGGAACTGGGTCCTTTCTTGTTTGCCTCCATTCATTAGTAGGATCATCTGTTCTTTCATCGACTGTCCTGGTTGGAGAAAGAGATTAAATTAAAAAGCAACTATAACTCAACTGGAATGCCAATTGAAATATAAAAGAAACATAAAGAACTGTCCAACAAACAGTATTGACAATCCCTAAAAAGAAAAGCAAGAGCATTCGACACACCCACTCCCAAAATTAAACTGAGTGAAGTCTAGCTTCTTTCTGATAGACATATAGAACAAAGACTGGTTGGCATAGGCCCTCCAGATAAAATAATTTATGTCAGTAAAAAATTGAATAATAAAGTTAGATAATTATCCCCCTGTGATGGTTTAGATATAATCTTATTGGATGCCCCTGTAACTACTGACTGCCTCCTAAAAGTACTAGAAAGAACACTAGATTTGGAATGAAAAGACCTGGGCTTGAATATCTACTGCCACTTACTAGTTATATGACCTTTTACAAGTGCATTAATCTCTACCAGTCTAGGCTTCCTCATTTATAACACAGGGGGAGTTTTACTCTTTTGTCCTCATCAAGTGATCCTAGTTCAAGAAAAAAGAGGCAGACAGAATACAAAATAAGATTGCACTGGGAATTAGTATATATGCCTTCAGAGGGTCGAAAGAAAGATTTGGAACCATAGGAATCTTCAGAGATCATCCAGTCCAACTCCCTTATTTCACAGATGAGAGATCAGAGGTCCAGAGATATTAAGTGATCTGTTCAATATCACAAGATTTGAACCCAAAGCCCACCAAATAACCTTAAGCAACTCAATTTCTCACTTTTTGTAATTAAGGGCCATCAATGGATGGGAAAACTGTGAGAAGTAATGAGCATCTTCAGGTGCTTTGAGATCTATGAAGAGTGACGGTCAACAAAACTTTGCTGTAAAGCATTCCATACTATCTGGTCTCTGTAGTTCTATGCTCCTCTTCATAATGTATATAAGGAAATATCTATATTCAGTATTTTTAAAACTGAAAATATTACCCTAGTAAATGAAATTGCATTACTTGCTAGAAACATATAAAAGAAAAGCTATAACTCCTTAAAGCAAAAGCTTCAGCATTCTCCTCCAAAGAGCAAGTCTCAAGGCTATTCCTCTTGACAATGGAAAAACTAGTCAGAAAGAAAACAAAAATCCTTAGGATACTTTGTCTTCTGCCAGTCCACGCAATGTATTACAATTGCATTATTTTGCCTGATACTTCTAAATGGTTGGGAAGATTTCTCCCTGTTTCTAAAATTGTGATAATATTCATCTCCGCCCAAGTGATTTTTTGTAGCATCCTAGTTCCTTAGATAACAAATTTCTGCATCCTAAGTGGTGATAAGAAAGACAAGCTTTTTCAATCCTATGCTCATCATCCCATTCAGCCAGCCACTGCCCGAGAACCCCTGGGAAGTAAAAAATTTAAACATCCCTAATGTGCATCAGAAATATGAACATTTTTAATATAAAAAGAAAACTTGTGAGCCATCTTTGGGGTAAGCTACTACCTCTCTCCCCCAACTAGTTATCAATAGTGCCAACTCAAAGGTTACCTTCCCTATACTGACACCCCACCAACTATACTAGCTGATCTGAGACCACAAGCCTTTTCACTACCCAAATGGCTAACAGAAAACTACCTTTAGTGCTGCAACCCTCCTAAAAACCCAGAGAGTTGCCACCTAATTCCCACTGACCATTTAGGAAGTTGCCACTTTTCCCTCTTCCTCACTAGCTGATCTGAGACCACAGACTTTTATTCTATTCAGATAACTAACTGGAGGAGACCTAACTCAAAGCACAGACATGAGGAGCATCCCATCTCATTCCTGGCTTTGCCAAAACTTCTACTGTTTACAAGGTATATCCTTCAGTAAATTTTATTAGGATTCATAAGCTCTAGGCATGTGGTGTGCTTTTTTTTCTCTAAGCACAGTGCCTAGTTTGCCACAAAATCACTCAGTTAAAGGGTACTAAGTAATACGAACAGAAAAATCTGATCAATTCCCCTTTTCAATTATTTTTTGCAAACATCAAAAATAACCCTAGCTCATTCGGGAAAAGGAGCAGAGTACTAAAACAGAAGGGCACTACTAATGTGTATTATTATGGTTGATCTTGTTCTTTCAAAAGAATCCTCACTTCCTTATATTTATGCCCTGTCTACTGCTTACATGCTGCTGTTTTGATTTCTGTTGCTGAGAAAAGCTTGTATGACATTTTACTTTAGGTTACCTGATATCTGCTTGGCTACTCTCTTCTCCATCTTGTTTAGTGACTGTTGCTATTTCTGAATCTTCCAAATTAAAGTATCCTCCCATTCCAGAGTTCTCAGGCTTCATGTCAGTGTCTCCTATCCTTGGGATCTTTTTGGATTTAAGAACATGGCTTGCATCTCCTGATTTGGAGACAGAGGAGGAAAGATAAACAGGTATGTTATGCCTCACCTTGGACACAGTAGGTGGCACTATCATTCCAAATAATTCAAAAAGTTAGTTCACTGCTTGATTAGGAAATGAGAGGGTGCGGTTTATTTAATGAGTATGTGGCAAAATAAGTTGGTCCTGGAAGGTTATTGAATTGTAGAAATTCTTCTCAGCTATCAGCTAAATGGGAGTTTGGATTTAACTATTGTCCTACAAGTGTTACAACATTTAGGGACTGAGGACTTACGTATGCCTGATAGTCCTAATGACTTTTCTGTGCACTTAAGACATCACGAATTTTAAAGTACAAAGTATGCCTATGTCAGTTTAGTTGGAATGGAGAGCTAGGGAGGAAAGACAAGAGCAGAAAATCTTAATAACAATTCCCTTCAACCCCAATCCAAGCCAAGCTGATAACTCTAACCAATAAATCTTATGTCTCTTTTATTATTTCGCCTAGTCTGTTTTTAAGGTATTATTTTCTTCAGCATTTTTTTTTCCTCTTTACCAAGTTGTTGACTCTTTTCATGATTTTCTTGTATACTCTCATTTCTTTTCCCAATTTTTATTCTCTCATTTAATTTTAAAAATCCTTTTGGAGCTCTTCCAGGAACTCTTTTTGGGCCTATGACCAATTTATATTTTTCTTTGAGGCATATAATCTATTTTGGCTTTGTTGTCTTCTTCTGAATTTGTGTTTTCACCTTCATTGTCACCACAGTAACTTTCCATAGTCATATTCTGTTTTCGTTGTTTACTCATTTTTCCAGACTATTTCTTGACTTTTAACTTTATGTTAAAGTTGGGCTCTGCTCCTAGGGTGTATGGGGGCACTGTCCCAAGCTTCAGGCTTTTCATGCTGCTGTTTTCAGAGCTAGTTCTGGGGATCTGTAAGTTTTCAGTTCTTCTAAGGTGGTATGATCGGAGGAGAGATGTGGTCACTGCTCTTCTGGCCCATTGCTGTTCTGTGAGCCACTATAAACATTCTTTTCCACCCTGGAACTGTGACCAGGGTCCCTGCTTCCCTGCAGCCACACGGGCTAGTGTGCTAGTGTTCTTCCTTGCCCTGGAACTGTGATCCTGAATTATGTATGGGCAACGCAACATCCTGTGCCAGCAAAGACTTCCTGGTAATCTTCTGACTCCCATCTGTGGGCTGAGAACTCCAGAAGCCTCCACTGCTGATTCAATCACCCCCACTCATGGCCTACACTACCACACTCTCCACTCTCAGCCCAGGGAGACAGACCTTTCCTGCTGACCTTTTAAGTTATCTTGGGCTGGAAAATTGTTTCAACCTATCCTTTTATTGGTTTTGCTGGTCCAGAATTCATTTTAAGGCATTATTTTAAACTTGTTTGGAGAGGAATTTGGGAGAGCTCAGGCAAGTCCCTGCCTTTACTCTGCCATCTTGGCTCTGTTCCCCTCCCCACCCCATTCCATTCCAATAAGTCTTTGTTCAGGTTGCATCCCACACTTGGAGTGACCTCCCCTTTTGTCTGATATCCTGATCTTGCCCATTTCTTCAAGGACCAGCTCAAGTCCCACCTCCTCCAAAAATTAAATCTTACAGGTATTTATGTAACGATATTTGCAACGGATTTCATATCTGTGAAAGTTGAGGAGCTCAACAGTTGCTCATGGGGCTTAAGGGGAAACTGAGCCCTGAGCATGAACTCTGGACAAGAATGAAGCTATGTGAGAGGTAATTTAATGGGAGAGATTTTGCATATATACATACATCTCAGTCCTTCCCCCTTTTGCTGTTTCATGGGTTTTGTCTGGGAGAAAGACTGCCAGTCCACTATTCCATCGAGGTCTTCCCATATAGCTTATCTACCATTCTTTCCCATTCAGATGCCAGTTTGGGTGCCAGAAGGCTAAGAGAAGAGACAATGAACTGCCTGCAAGTTGGCCATGATGACCATAGCAAGCAGGTGGCCAGAGTAGCACTCAAGACCAATATTTTCAGGGGCAGCTAGGTGGTGCAGTAGATAGAGCACCAGCCCTGAAGTCAGGAGGACCTGAGTTCAAATCCAGCCTCAGACCAAACACTTGACACTTACTAGCTATGTGACCCCGGGCAAGTCACTTAACTCCACCTGCCTAAGCAAAAAAAAAAGACCAATATTTTCAGCATGCTATCACTAAAGCAGCTGCTAGAGTCCCTAACTTCTGTGATCAGGACCAGTCAGAACTAAGATACAGACCGGGAACAGAGATGCAAGCTATCTTCCTGGCCTATGCATGTCAGCACTAGTGTGGTAAGTTAGGTCTAGACAAGAGACAGAGTAGCAGACATCTGGCCTAGTAGCCTTTAAACATTTTTCTAATTATATGTATATATAATACACACACACACAACACACACACACATATATCTTTTGTTTTTGTTTTTACATCTTCTCCACTTCTTAGTATAACCCAAATGGACATGTCCAGACTAACCCTGGTGATACACTAGTATATCCCTCTTTTTCCTCTACTCATCAAGCCATTCCTTGTTATAATGACTAAAAGAGGATGAGGAATAAAAAACAGTTCAGCAATCTAACCAACAAATTAACTGTGTATATATTATGCCATAATCCCCACCTACAGTTCCTCAATTCTGCAAATAAGAGGACAGTAAGTTTTTCTGGGCCAACCCTGGTTATTACAATTACAGTGTTCATTTTCATTTTATTGTTTTTTCCACTTACATTGATAGAGTTATTATGTATGCTTTCTCCCTATTCCTATTTATTTCACTCAATAACATCTCCTAAGTCTTTCTAGGCTGCTCTAAATTCTTCATATACATTGTTTCTTTCTTATTACACAGTTCCATTCCGTTTATGTATCACAATTTAACTATTTCCCAAATTGATGGGCATCCACTTTTTTTAAAGGTCTTTGTTATGACAAAATGTGCTGCTATGAATATTTTGTGACCTTTCCTTCTCTCTTTACTATCCTTGAGGTATGTGCTTAGTAAGGGGATCTCTGGATCAAAGCAAAGGGATTTGCTAAATATTTTAGTCACTTTTCCACCATCATTCCAATTGCTTTAGAGAATGGTTGGTATTGGTGCTATTTTCCTATAACCCCTCCAATTTGATTGTTTTTATCTTTTACCATTTTTGTCAATTTTCTGCAGGTGAGGTAAAACCTCAAAATTATTTCAGTTTTTTAAATTGTTAATTATTAGGAGCAATGTTTACATGATTGCCAATAGGACACAAATTTTTCTTTTAAGAACTACTTATTACTTTGAAAATTTATCCTTGGAGAATGTCCCTGGCCTTATATATTTGTGTTAATTTCCAATATATCTTAGCTATAAGAACATTATATGAGATATTTGATGCAAAGATTTCCCCCCAATTTATTTCCCTTGTTATCATAGCTACATTTACTACTTATTCAAGATAGTTTTGATTTCATATAATTGAAATTATCTATTTTGTCTTTGGTGACTACTTCTATTCTTTATTTGGTTAAGAATTTTCCCCTGAACCAAGGCTGTGAAAGGTACCTGATAATTTTCTCCCAGGGTAGCTTTTTAAATTTAAGTTATGTTCATTTTGAGTGTATTATGGTATATGAATGAAAGAAAAAGCATTTATTAAATACCTGACATATGCCAGGCACTGACTGTGGTCTGAGACAATGGCCTAAACTCTGCCAAACTGTTTTTCACTTTTTATAGTAATTCTTGTCAAAAAGAGAATTCTTTCCAGAGTAATTTATATTCTAACACTTATTGAACTCTGGGTTATTAAATTCACTGACTTTAGTCTTCTTTTTCTAGCTTGTTCCATTGTAACTAATCTCTTTGCTAAATCCCTGGGATTTCCTAAGTGCCTAGTAGCTTTTTTGAGAGCTAAATCAGCCATTAAGTTGGAAAGAGGACAAACTCCTCCCTTACAACTTTTCCTTGCCCTCAGTTGATATAAGCTCCTGACCTCTGAAAGGGGGACTCAGACACAATTCCTTCCCCTAATCCTTCTGCCCAAAAGGTCAGCCATAGTAAGGGTGGTTGGAAGCATCAACATGGGTGAAAGGGCTAAGGTCTCTATAGACTATCTCTTAACATGTAGCTTAGTAATTTTATTTGTATAATGAAATGTGTATGGCTATAGTGTGTATCATCTGTGCTACATACAGAGAGAGTGTCAGATTAAAGAAAATCTCCTAGAGAATGGGATGGGAAGGATACAGCCAAATGAAGATTTCTATTATTTTAGAAATTTAGAGTGATAGTTCATATTTCATTTCCCCTAGATTAAAATTTTAATCTGGTTCTTGAGGAAGGCTATACCTGCCCAACTGTGCCTGGGGTAGGAACAAGAGTGATCTAAAAGCTGAAAGCAAGCACCCTCCATTGAGTACTGAGGATTCTGAAGGTTTAGGTTAACTTCCTAGTTAGTCAACACATCCCACACTGGACACAGGGGTGGTAGCCTCAGGGTGGTACTACCTGGTGGTTACACACTAAACTTCCTTGCTGAGAAATTAAATTCTTTTCTTTAGACTTTCATTAAGTGTCACCTAAGACATTCTGCCCCCCCGCCCGAGACACCCATGAAGTACAAAGGTAGCCCACAACACTATTTCATTTATTCAGTGGCTAACTATGTGTAAGGCACCATGCAAGTTTCTGTGGGAGATGAAGATGGGAATTGCTCTCAAGGAATTTATATAATTTATTTACATAAGGCATATCAACAGACATAATTCACATTAAAATAAAGTATATGAGAGATAAAAAATGGCATGAGGGATACTGGAATCAGCCCATAGTGATCTTCCCCTCCTTTGAATTCTGTACATCATTATTTCTATAAACATTTGGCTTGGTGGTGTAAAGGCAGAACAGTGTGGTAGAAAGAAAGAACCTGAAAAGAGGAGACCTGGGTTGGAATCCTGTTATACTAGATATGATAAAGTCAAATCAATTAAACTCTAAATCTATTTCCTATTTTGTAAAATGGGGGTTAATAATATTTGTTTTATTACCTCACAGGTGTGTTTGAAAGTGTTTTGTAAGACTTACAGTACTATGCAAATGTGAACTATTACATTTTCTAAGATAATGTTGGAAGGGACCATGGAGATCTAGTCTAACCACTTATTTTATAAAGGGGGAAGCTAAGGGGTTTTATGACTTGTCCAGGGTTACACAGGCAATAAGGAGCAGAGTCAAGATTATACAGGTAATAACTAACATAGCCAGAGAGGTAGTGAGGCAGAGTGGATAGTGAGCTGGTTCAAGTCCTAATCCTGAAACAGCCTGGCTGTGAGACTCTGGGCAAGTAACTTAACTACCTGGTGTTCCAGGCAATTCTGTGTCCAGGGAGACTACAAATTTCAGAGAAGGCACCCACATGCATTGGTAGGGGGAGTGTCCTAATCCATGAGTTCCCTATACTAACGAAATCACAGGTCTAGACTCTATCCTAGTTCTTAAGCAGCAAAGCCAGGATTTGAAGCCAGTCTTCTGATTTTCACATCCAGTATTCTGTGGTACTTGTTTTGCTGTTCAGATCATAGATCTATAGAGAGAGCTGGAAGGGCCAGATGAGAAATCAAAATTTCTGACACTTGGCCAAGGTCACATAGGCAATAATCATCAGAGGTAGGATTTGAACCCATGTCCTCTGACCTAAGCCAGTGTGCTTTCCACTGTCCTATGCTGACTTGAACTAAACTGTTGAATAAATACATGCAAGTAAAGCAAAGTGTCAGTTTTATTTATTTGGGGGTTTTCAGATTTAAACACACTGGCCCTTGATTAGTCCTTTAAAGACCTGTACCAAACAAAGCACAGCACAAACATGAAAATAGACTCTACCCTTCCTGTAATTCCCATAGGGTCATTTCAAGAAAAATCACATTTTAAAGAACTTTGTATTCAGTTCCGAAGGTCAACCAACTCCTTCCTGAAACAGGAAGGAAAGTCTATTTCTTCACATGCCATACTCTCCCCTCCCCCCTCCTCAAACAGGTACAGTTTAGGAACAAGCACAGTTAACTCAGGTATGCTGGGTCAGCTCAGCTCCCCTTCAGGTCAGCGTTCTGTTTCCCAGTGATGTGCAGTGATGTGCGCATCAGGGCATGCTTTTTTGTCCAGTCAGGTCTAACTTTTTGTGACCCCATGAACCATAGCATGCCAGGCCCTTCTATCCTCCACTAACTTTTGAAGTCTGTCCAAATTCACATTTGTTGTTTCCATGACACTATCTATCCATCTCATCCTGTCCCCTTTTCCTTTTGCCTTCAAACTTTCCCTTTCACGGTCTTTTCCAGTGAATCCCGCCTTCTCATTATGGGGACACGCTAGTCCTTACAATATCAAACTTAAAATGTGTGTATATGCACATATAATATATATATACATACAAATGTATATATATGTATACATTTTTTATTAGTAGGCATTTATTCTCAAATTTGTTCTAACACGAGTTTTTGTCATCCAGCAAAAGTATTTCTCTTAGTTACTTAAAAATGATTTGTTTGGAAACGAAAGTACCTGAAATCTGTGGCTTCCTCCTCTTGGGCATGTTGATCCTCCCTCTAGAAATCTGCAAACAAAAACTTCCATCACTAGTTATCACCATCAAAGACTGAAAGCCTGAGGCCCAGTATTCAGACTTCAGTTCATAACAGCATCTCTAGTGGAGAATTGGGACAGCTAGGTGGCACAATACTTAGTGGACAGACTCATCTTCCTGAGTTCAAATCTGGCCTCAGACACATAGCTAAGAGAGAACTCTTCCCAGAGTAATTTATATTCTAGGACTTATTGAACTCTGGGTTATTAAATTCACTAACTTTAGTTTTCTTTTTCTACCTTGTTCCATTGTAATTAATGTCTTCACTAACAGTTATGTGACCCCAGGCAAGTCACTTAACCCTGTTTGCCTTTGTCAAATGAATTGGAGAAGGAAATGGGAAATCACTCCAGTATCTTTGTCAAGAAAACCCCAAATGGAGTCAGTAAGAGTCAGATACCACTGAACAACAGAGATAACTGCCCCTCGGTTCTAGGAACTAGTGCCCAGATTTGAGTTGTGAAGCTGGTTGTCCTTCTAAGCCATGTATATTTTTCTCCTTAGGGTTCTGGTTACACAGGATCTTATGGGATGCCAAGTATGACCTTGGCCTCATCTAGTACCAGTATGAGTCGTTCTACACAAACCATCTGCAACCCTTTAGCAAAACTAAATTGATTTATAGTGTGATAGATTTGTTTTCTCGGGGCTTGGGAATGTACAAATTGAAACTGCCCCAAAGGAATCTGTCCAAACTTCTGTCCTAATAATAAGAACCATCCCTTAAATTTGTGTGTATTTTATACTTTCTGGGATATTATACAACACCCAGCAGTCTCCTGACTACAAGTACAATGTTGCCTTTAATGAACTAACTGAATTTTGGTCTTCTACATGGGGATACGGGCAGAAACTACGTTATGGCCACTTTAGGTTTAAGTGAACCCAGAGCCCCAGTAGAACTGTTCCCTGTCCTATTTAATCTGAACTTCTCCCCTGAGATTAGTTCTAATTTAGCCTATCTTCCCCATTATACTGTGGGCTTGAGAATAGGTTCTGTTTTTTGCCCTCCTTTATATTGGTATAGTTAGCATAGCACCTGGCATATAGATTGTCCTTATGGACTGGGTTGTGACCAAGTGTGAAGAACCCGCAGCCTCAAGGCCACCCGTGGCCCTCTGGGAGTCCACGTTTTACAAAACAAATCCTTTTCTTAAGGGGATTTGTTCTGTGAAGTTTGGATTCAGTCAGAGGGCCACACTTGAGGACCTGGATGCTGAAGGTTTCCCCACCCCTGGGTTGTGACCCTCTATTTGGCCCCAGTGAGCTACCTTACACTATAGACAGACAGTACCCAGATATCTGTGTTTTCGTTGAAATAATGTATTGCAGATTTATAAAGTGTTGTTGGAAAGCTATATGCTCCCAGTACCTGATAAAATGTACCAGGGCACTGTCTGCCTAGGGTGAAGGGGCAGCCCAATGGAGGGCTATACCCCCATCCACTGAGCCCGTGACTATAGCCCTGACTGAAAGACTGGGGTCCTCAGTCACCAAATCCAAAGATAAGGAAGCAATTTACAGCAGTTTTAATCCATTTTCCCCAAATTCAAAAGCAGCTAAATGGCAGTGGATGGAAAAATGGATTTGGAGACAGGAAAAATCTAAATTTAAATCCTGCCTCAGGCACTTACTGGCAGGGTAGCCATGGACAAGGCAGAACTTGTCTGCTTCAGTTTCCTTATCTGTAAAATGGGAATAACAATAGCACCCCCCCCCTCACATGGTAGTTGAGGATCAAATGTGATATCATGTCAAGCAAAACATTTATCAAACCTTAAAGTGCTATTAATTTGTTGCTGTTGTTCAGTTGTGTCCACCTCTTCCTAACCCCATTTGGGGTTTTCTTGGCAAAGATACTGGAGAGGTTTCCCATTTCCTTCTCTTCCCCATTTTACAGATGAGGAAATGGAAGCAAAGAAGATCTAGTGACTTGCTCAGGGTCACACACCTAGTAAATGTCTGAGGCCAGATTTGAACTGAGGAAGCCTCTAGGACCAGCACAACACCTGTCTATTAATTAGCCAACGAAGGTAGCTAAGTCGGGCAGTAAACACAGTTTAGGTCCTGAAGTCAGGAAGATGCTAGTTTAAACCTGACCTCAGGCACTTCCTAACTGTGTGACTAGTCCCGTCACTTACTCCTGTTTGCCTCAGTTTCCCCATGTGTATAATGAGCTGGAGAAGGAAATGGTAAACCACTCCAGTGGCTTTGCCAAGAAAGCCCCAAATAGAGTCAGGACTGAAATGACTGAACAATATCACTGAATTCTGTTAGGGCATTAAAAAGATTTCTGGGTTTGGAATCAATAGACCTGACTGGGTTTCCACACTTTCTGCTAGTCCTCAGAAAAGGCACCTCATTGGGCTTGTTTCCTAAGCTGGAAAAGGGCCCCACCGATGTGAAGTCCCCACCCCGGGCCTCATGACTGGGAGCAGGGCACGGGTTTGGGCTTTGGCTCGGCCTCAGGCTGAATTGGGCTGGGAGAAGAGGGCCGGGGCCCATTCGGGCCTGACCAGGCTCAAGCAGGGCCTTAGCAGGCGCCTTGCAGCCCGACCCCCGGCAGTCAATACTTGGGCCAGGGCCAGCTCGACCTGGTGGGGAGGGGTCACAAAGGCGTTCCCGGGATCTCAGGCGCCAACTCCCCTTCCTCACCTGGAAGGAAAACCGCCTCTGCCTTCGCGCGGGCCTAGCTTTCCCGCCCAATCTCAATAACACCCTGGTCCAACTCTGGCAAGCCGGGCCAGGCGCGCATGCGTGAATGTGCACACAGTTGGGGAGTTCCCGCGGGAGGAAGGCAGGACAGAGTGCTCGTCGGGAATTGTAGTCCCTCCTCGTTCTCTCGCGCCGGCGCGTCTAGTGCCCGCTGGCACGGCGAGGGGCGGGACGTGCATCTGGGACAAGGCCTAGCCGGAAGTGAACCGACGAGGGAGGGCGGTCCTCGGGTCCCCGCCCCCCTACCCTCTCTAGCCCCGACGGAAACATGCATAAGAAGAAGGCGCCCTCGGGACCCCCGGGACGCGGCGTGGCCGCAGCCAGACAGGTGAGGGCTTCCCTCCCCCAAGGGAAGCCTGGCCCCCTCTCTCTCTATCACTCTTGGCCCTCCCTTGCCTCCTCCCTCTGGCCCCCTCCCTCCGTCTTCTGCCCTCTCTGGCCCTACTTTCCTCTTCCTCGCCGGCCCCGCCCCCTTTGCCCCCGGCTAGTCCTGACCCCTTTGGCCCCGCCCCCTCCTGCGCTCTCCCCTCTGGGAGGCTTGGCCCTCTCCCCCTTCTCCCTCCCTCTCCCCACTGTCCTCTGCCCTCCCTGGCCCCGCCCCCTCTGGGAGGTCGGGCCCCCTGCCCTCTGACCTTCTTCCCTCTGGGAAGCTTGGCCCTCTCCCCCTTTCCTCACTTACCTGATCCCTCTGGCCCCCTCCTCCCTGTCCTCTGCGCTCTCGGGCCCCTGCCCTGTCACCCTCTGATCCCCTCCCCACTGGGAGGCCTCGACCCTTTCCCTCCTACCCCCTCCTTGCCTGCTCTCTCTGGCCCCCTCATCCCTGATCTCTGCCTTCCCTGGCCCCGCCCCCTCTAGCCCCCTCCCCTCTGGAAGGCCTGGCCCCTTCCCCCACCCCCCTGTCCCCTCCCAGGCCTCACCCACTTTGCTCTCCCTGGCTCTGGCCCCTTCTCTTCTGGGAGGCTTGGCTCCTTCCCCCCCTCCCCCTGCCTTGTCAGTGAAGTCCTTCATAGTCCTTCTGTTTCTACCCTGTGAGAATCAGTCACCCCAGTCTCTCCTCCTCCCTCACTGAGGCCACCCTGCCCCATCCTTCATCCTTTCCACGGTTCCAACCTTCGGCCTTGGTCCTAACGGCTGAGACACCTGCAGCTTTTTGGGGGGGAGGGTAAGGTAGGCCAGAGTTGATGAAGGAAAAACCAGGGGCGAGAATGGAAACCACCCTGAGATGTTTCTCTGGGCCCTTCTCTCCCTAATCTGCCCTAGCTCAGTTCCCAGGGTGCTGAGCGGTGTTAGGGATGAGGTTCAAAGCAGATAACAGGGAGGTGGCCTCAGTTTGCCATCTGGTGATGGGAGGTAAACAGGCCTGTTTTTCCTGTTGAGCTTGGCCTGGGAAATTTATGTAATGGTCTTCCTGGGAACTCAGACTCAGGCCCAAGTCCAGACTACTTAAGCCCTAGGGTGGAGTAGGCTTCAGGTGCTTACCCTTTGCCCCAAGTCTATTAGATCGGATTGGCTGCTGTCCAGGGTGCCAAGATTTCTCTGGGCCTCCAGTTCAGTGACATCCTCAGGTTCTTCAAGGTTCCATTCAGATGTGGATGTTTCCTGGGGTGCTTGAGTAGGGTATCCATTTGGGACCTACCTTGAAGACAAAGTGCTTCTCACCAATCCCTCTCATCCAAATTTTTGAATCCACCCATTTGGGGAGACTTTTTCCTTGGGATGGTATATCCTCTTTCAGGAATCCTTATATACACTTGTTATATACTCAGAGAAGATCTAAAAAGTATCTAGACTTAGCCTAGGCTACAGAGGAGTAGAGAGGTTTTAACATTCAATCATCTACTAGTCTACAAGACTTTAATGAGGGCAGAGGCTGTATCTTAACTAACCTTTGTGTTTCTCCCAGCATCCGTCGGGTACTTTGTACAAAGTTGGTACTTAATACGTGTTTTCCATATTTGTACCAAGGATAACGAACTTTTTCCTCCCAGCTTGACCCTTTATAAAATAGTCCTAATGTTCCTCCAAAGGAAAATCGGTGATTGGTTGTGTGAACGGAAGTGGAGAGAGTAGCTGTGGCCAGTAATAGTAGAGACTATGATAATCCCAAGCCGATTGGGAGGGACCTCTAACTTGGACTGGCGATGGCCACTGTGGTTTCGCTGGGTGTCACTTTGAGGCTTGCTCTTATTTGGGTCTTTTTCCCTTGCCCTGAAGCTGGGCCTTCTGGTAGACTTCTCCCCTGATGGGATGATGATTCCTGAAGATGGTGTCAATGATGCTGACCTTGAGGCAGAGTTCATGGCCTTGGTTGGGGCCCAGCCACCTCAGGAGCTCAAAAGCAAAGGTGAGGGGGTCCCCACTGCCTGTTGGGAGTTGTCTTCTTATGCACCCGAAGCCTAGGAGATCTTGCTTATGTTCATCCCTGACTGTCTGTCCTGAAGTTCTCCCTCTTCCCTGCTTGCCATTATATGCTGCAAATCCTGAGCACCACTGGAAAGCCTTATTCAGAGTAGGATGTGGGGGCAGCTAGGTGGCACAGTGGATAGAGCTCTGGCCTTGGAGTCAGGAGGATGTGAGTTCAAACCCAGTCTCAGACACATGACACTTACTAGCTGTGTGACCCTGGGCAAGTCACTTAACCCTGATTGCCTCACCAAAAAAAAGCAAAAAACAGAGTAGGATGTGTGATTGGGATGGCTAAGGGGTCCTGAACTACATCTATATTTGTTTTCTTTTTAGCTCCTTTGCCTATGGAGACCATTGAAAAGATGGCCTCCCTGTGTATGAAGGACCTAGATGAAGGAGAAGAGGAAGAGGATGATGATGATGTGGAAGACGATGATGAACTTCTGGTGAGGAAGAGGCTTGGACGGCTTCTCCAAGCACGAAGGGTCTTCCAAATAGATCTGTTCTGCCTGAGGGTGGGGTGGGCTGGGTATCTGGCCTCTGCAGAAGGAAGGAATTGGGGAGGGTGGGTAAGAGGAAATATGACAGCAATACTGTTAGCATGGAACTCTCATGGAGCCAGGAACCATAGCAGCAAGTTCTACCCAACCCCATCTTCCCCAGAGAGCTGCCTCTTGTCCCTACCGTGTGACCTTTTCACTCTGTCACAAATCATATGGTTCTGCCCACATTCTGGAGAAGGCTATACAAGGGGCTTCCCACTCCTTTTACTAACAGAACTGAGATTAGTTGTGTCTCTTGAGTGAGGACTGGATATTAACCAAGACTCACCAGCCCTTATTGTCTTCTATGTGTGTGTCTAGGCGGAGCTCAATGAAGTTCTCGGGGAAAGGGAGGAGCCCCAAGATACTCGGAGCCTCCCCCTGGCCAAGGTATGTTGCTATCTGTCTCTCTTTGGTTTGTTTTGCGTGTGACTCCCAGAGTTCCCTCCAGAGCAAGCAGTTTCCTTACCATCATCGTTATCATCTTGGCTAACGTTTATGTAGAGCCTACTATATGCTGTGCTAAGCGCTTTACAAGTATTATCATATTTGATTTTTACAATAACCCTTTGAGGTAGGTGCTGTCATTATCCCTGTTTCTACAGATGAGGAAACTGAAGCAAACAAAGATTAAGTGATTTGCCCAGGGTAACACAGCTAGGAATTGTCTAAGGCTGGATTCAAACTCAGGAAGATAAGTCTTCCTGACTAGGCTTAGCACTGTATCCATTATTCACCTAGTTGCCCCTGCATGCAGGACAGCCCCTCAAAGATCATCCCTAAAGGCCCCTTCTAGCTCTAACTCCTGTGATCTTATGGCCTGAGCCCTATCCCAAGATGAGCTAAAAGCTGAGATGTTGTTCCAGGGACCAGGTATGGGATCGATCCTGCAGCATGATGGGTGAACAGGTGGAATGTCTCTCAGAGGAACAATTCTTGGGCCTGGGGCACAATTTCCCCCTATCTCAGGGTCAGTGACTCTCATATTCTTCTGCAGTCACCCAGTCTTCCACAACCTAAGGTCAGCCCCAGCAGTGCTGGCATGGAAACCACCCTGGCTGAAAGACTGGCCATGTACCAGACTGCCATCACCAATGCCAAGCAGACCGGGGACAGCTCCAAGGTCCGGAGATATGAGCGAGGTGTCAAGGTGAGCAGGAAGGGTCCTTGTTCCATAGTTCTATCTCACCCTGGGCTGGCTCTGCCTTAGACTGAGCCAAGACTTGCCTTCTCTTCAGACATTAGAGAATATGCTAGTCTCAGTTAAGAAGGGACGTAGCATCAACGAAGAGGACATCCCGCCTCCTGTGGCTGTGGGGAAGAGCCTAACACCTCCTCCGGAGGTTCCACCCGCACAGAGTACCATACCCACCCAGCCCCCTGAACATCAACTGCCAGCTGTTCCCCCCAAAACACTGTCTGTGCCCACCAGTCATGGCTCTAGGGTGACTGAGAAGCCAGTCCCTGTAGCCTCACCTGTGAGCTGTGGTAAGTCTGGCATGACCTTTGGCTGGTTTGGGTGCTGGGAATAATCCTTAGGCCCCAAGACAAGGTGAAGGGGATTGCAAAGTTCCATTCTCTTTTCTGTGCTCCTACACCCCCACAATCCTTTGGACATTAACTTTTTCCCATACTTTCTTAGAAGTTCCCAGAACTAGTGATAAAAAATGCTGTCTGCATCCCGAGAAAGTACTAATGGAGTCTGAATGCAAATTAAAGCATACTTTTTAAATTTTTCTTTTATTTTTTTTGGTCTTTGTTTTCTTTCACAACGTGACTAATATGGAAATATGCTTTGCATGACTGAACATGTATAACCCATGTCAAATTGCTTACCTTCTCAATGAGGGGGGGAGGGGAGAGAATTTGGAACTCAATATTTAAAAAAAGAAATGTTAAAAATATTTTACATGTAATTGGAAAAAAAATTTTTTTTAAAAGAAGTTCCCTGAGCAGCTTGACTTGCCAACTCCTGTGGGCATCATTTTCTCTTCGTAGGTTCTGGCAGCCCTGAGTCCCTGGCCCTATTGCAGGAGCGGCAGCGAGAATACAAAAGGGCCGCATTGCGCTCCAAGCAGGAGGGCGACTCGGAAGCAGCCACTAAGTATTACCGAGTAGCCAAGGTAAGATGTGATAGAGGGCAGGGATCTTGGGCCTGACCTGGCCCAGTTGGTTTCCTTTAACACACTGTCTGGCCCATTTCTTCTCTGTCCTGTCCCTGAGATAACTACAGCTGTCTCCCCATCTCCGTTCTTCCCCTAGAGCTTTGATGCTGTCCTGGAAGCAATGACCAGGGGTGAGGCTGTGGACCTATCCCGGTTACCTC